ATTGTCTGTAGACAATGATAATGGGAGAAAGGGTGAATATGGCAACAGCAGCATCACTTTTATGAAGGATGTAAAAATTGACCCTGGGAGGGGAGGAGCCTGGAGCTAAATAAAGCCTGATAGATGATGAGTGCAATAAAAAGAAAAAGTAAAGAGTTGAAGAGAGGAAATTTGTCAAACCGAAATCTGAATTCTGCTTTCTTTTTGTGTAAGGAAATTTAAACTGTGATGACTGACACTGCAGCTATTATCCATTTTTAAAAAGAGGATAAAGTTGTTTCTGGACATTTGAGAGCCAGCGTTGCTAGCAGATGCTGTCAACTTCCAGGGTGTGCTACTGACTTGAGCACGTCAGCCATTAACACGAGACCTTCCCCTCCCTTTTCAACAAGCTCACATAGTTTTGTACTATTAACAATTGTAGATACCTGTTTCTTTATACCATTCAATATTTGGGACGTTTGTATTTCACTCAAAATAGAAGCATGGCAAGCTAGGCTATCTAGCCTCCATGCAAAAAGGGGGGAAAAGTTATAGCTTTTTTCTGACTACAGTTAGCCCAATTTGATAATTTTAGCAATGATTCCCACCAGATGCTACTTTTCAGTCATGATGTTTCAACACCTGCTGAGTCATCTCATTGCTGTTTATCCTGTATGTTAGAATTGAGGTAGTCTAGCTAGCGTTAGCTGGCTCTCCTTCATGGTCCAGTTGTGGTGATGACAAAAGACGGACTGTAAAGCACTCTGTGATTTAGATCCAGACACAAAGAAACTAACATACAGAGCATGGAGAAAAGTTGTCCTATAGTATGCGGCTGATGAAATTGAAGTGATATAACAAACTATTGTTAATGGCTGTCCACACAGATATCGCATCAGATATTGCAACCAGAAATTCTCGTCTCCAGGAAAACACTGATGTATGCACCATTTTCACGGCAGAAAAAGAAATAAAAGTTAAATGTCTTCATTTTCTTTTCTACAGTTTTGACCAAATAAATCAGTGAATAGAAGTTATTCACTGAAGGCATATATAGTGATAATTAACTTTGGTGCATTAACCAAAGAACAAACACTTTACATACAGAACAGATAGCTTGGGGAAACCTGATCTCCTCTTTTTCTCTCTAAAGTCTTCCTCCCTCCTTTTGCTACAGCTCCATCTCATTTGTAACAATACACCTCTTTCCTCTTTCGTCTGCAACACCACTTCTCAAGCAAAGAAGAAATCCCTCTGCCTGCTTTCTTCTCTACTTTTCACCACTTTTCTCTCCCTGCCCTTCTTCCAAACTCTCCTTTTCATCTTTTCCCCTCTTTATACTCTCCAAGGTCACACTGTTTGATCTTCTCTGGCACATTAGAAATCATCGCTGTGGGGTGAAAGCTGTATTATCTTTGAAATGTCAACAAGAGACAGAATACAGGTGTGTGTTTAGCTTGATGACAATGCAGTTTTTATCATCATCCGGTTGGTTTTGGAAGTGCTTCTAAGCCCCAGAGGTTGAAGAATTTAGAGGAGCATGTAATCCTTTAATCCTTTAATTAAAGTCAATATAATATGAAAATGAACAAAACTGTAATTACAAGGCTTTCACATGACAACAGTGGTAAAATCTGGACTAATGTACAACCCCAGTGCTCACTCATAAGCATGTGTACATATACACAGAGTAATCAGTTGAAGGTTAAAATTACCAACAGCTCAATAATATGACCTCTGGTGTATTTTACCGCAGTGCTGAGCCTTTTCTCTCCCAATCTAATGCCATACATACCATCGACAGGCTACACTGTTTCCTGTTAACTTGAAACACATAAAAGAACAAATGTTTACACAAAGCAAATCCACAAACCTGTCTTGCAAGCATGTCGACAGGTAGAGACGCAAAGAGCATGCCCACATGCAAGGTCGCGAATACAGGAAATCAAACACACACACACACACACACACACACACACACACACACACACACACACACATACACACCTCTACAAATCAAGAAAGATCACAAAAAGCTCAAAATGCTGTTAAGTTAACAACATACACATACTTTCAGCTCAGTCAGTTTCTGATTTAAATCACACTCCTTCCAATATTACTATTATTTTATTTCAGCAAAGTTGTTACTTTTATTTAGACAACATTTTAGTATTCAAGAAGTTTAGCTTCCTTAGTTTAACAAAAGGAAGTCTTTGGTAAAAAACATTTGATTTGATTTATTTTTCAGATGATTTATCAGTCCAACAGCAAAGACTTGTTCCTACAGGTCACATCACGGCAGGCTAATAAAAACTTGTATTTACAGCTGCATGGCAGATGTTAAAATAAGAGATTTAGAGGACAATCTTAATGTTGTGTCTGTGTGTGACCATCAGAGCAGCTGTGAGATTTGTAAACACTACAGGCTGACAGTATTTTAGCTACTGTAGCATGAGAGGTACTAATAATATCCGTCAGTTAGCTTACAAGAGCAAAGAAACAACAGTAAAAATTAATGTAACGGCATATTCTACAGCCAACATTTTCCATACATTCAAATAGAAGATGTTTCAAGGCAGTCGACATTTAAACATCTTCTGACTTATCATCGTTGGCTGGAAGCATATCCTTGCCGGTTCATTGTGGCCACTGCTTGACATAAATTCTGATCACAAGAAAGACAGATGCGTTAGCTAATTAGGGAGCCACTTCAACAATTCTCTGATAGGAATACAGCTTCAATTGTCATACTGACTTCATAACGAGGACTTTTAGCTAAATCTTTTGCAGAGGCTGCTTGTTCAGTCATAACACAAACTGGAAATTTCATTGGCTGAAGAGTAAGACAGCGATAAGTATGAGTTCTGAAAGCGTCACATTTTCATGCCAATTAAAATGAACAAATTGGCATCAGAAATGCTATCAAGCACTGTGCTATGTGACCAGTTGAGCTTTATTTATTTTATATTTATTTTATTATTATTATTTTTTATTTTATTTTTTAGCACTGCTTGCTGACCAGTGAGTAACCTCAACTTCAGTTAATGGCCCTTACTGCGTGCTCACCCTAGTATTATCTAACACTGAACAACACAATACAGTGTAATATATATGAAGCCTGCAGATCTACTGAGAGGGCAACAGTGCAGTAAAAAAAAGAAAAGATTAATAATCTTTCAAATTAACATAAACAGCCGTATTAAGAAAGTGAAGAAAGTTCTCATGTCACAACAAAGAGAGAAATTGGATAAAATAACTGTAAACCTAGCACAATCACACTTAAAGACACGTTGAAACAGCATTAGTTGTGCAGAACTAATGCAGTAATGTTGCAACAATTCATGGAGGATTTGTTCGAAAACCCTTTTGTACTAAAAAAGGATACAGCCACAGGGTGGGAAGACTTAGCTACACACATAGCTGTACTAAGTTCATACCACACCGATTCAACTGAGGAGGGTGTGAAAATCCTTATTTCTGAAGTCCTCCCTTAGCTCCATCTTGAGATATCTGGCTAAAGCTAACTTTGGTGCCTCAATAGTTTGTGTAGATCATGTGGTATGAGTCACATCTTACCGTCCACATTAGTGTCACACAAAAAGATGGCCACTGTGGGCAGAGCTGGCTAGTAGAGAGTTGGTGGTAATACAAGCCATGCCAGTGATTCTTTTTAAAGCCCTGCTCTCTCTTTACCATCCTGCATTACTGTAAATCCACTGTTCACTGTATCCTCTGGGATCAGAGGCAAAGTGATGAGAGAAACAGGAGGAGGAAAGATGGGAAGGAGAGGTAGGAAAATAAAGGGAGCCGGAGGAGGACGACAGGAGTGAGGAAGAGGAGAAAAAAGTAAATGAGATCGAGAAGGGAAACATGGGAAGAGGTCATGAGAGGAGAGGAGGATGGACACACAGGAGAAAGGGGGAATAATAGGCTTGTCTGACCCTCACATATCCTTGATAGTTACAAACTGCAGGGAGGAGGAGCTTATTCATAAAAACGTCAATATCAGCGGAAATCTGTTGGGTGTAATTTACTAAGCACACATTCAATTAATATTCTATTCAAACATGCAATTTTTCAAAAACGATAAACTACCCGCGCTGTGATGGACTGGCGACCTGCCCAGGTCCAGGGGACCTGGTGTCTGTCCCCGCCTTTCATCCGATGTCAGCTGGGATTGGCTCCAGCCCTCCGCAACCCTGTACGCAGGATAAGCAGTTGACGATGGATGGATGGATGGATAAACTACCCTTTATCCCTGTGTAATCTGCAGAGAAACTGCTGATGTTTATCCACCGCAGGATTGAATTATTAAAGACAATTTGTTTATAATCTGAGTAAACAGTCAAAGGACAAACCTTCCTGAGATAGGGTGAAAAGGACAAGAAAATGTATTTGCTTAAAAGGTGCACTAATCAATATTTTTATGTCAATAGAAAAGCTGACTAAGTGAAATATAAAAGTTGTTACTTGTAAACCCGCAGAGAATTATCACTGAACTCTTGTCTTTAAACTCATTGTTTTGATTTTGCAGACTGCAACGTTATTGTTCTGGTTCACTCTCACTGCTCTATTTTTAACTTTATATTGACATTTTGTCAATGCTGTGTTTACAGCTTGTTACGGTGCCCCCAAGTGACCAAAAAATAATTAACGCAGGTTAACGCTGAGTGTCACCACCAGCTTAACATTATATCACTTACATTCTGTATGTATGCTGTTTAAATTGTACAGTACAATTGCACAGTAAATCATTTTGAATAAACACTTTGTTAGAGTAAGATAAAGGGGAATAATCTGTTGTTTTTGGTCCCCTTATTCATTCAAGGTATACTTGACATTTGTACTGTATAATGCACATCCACAAAAGTTTACAACAAAAAATTCTAACGTTCCCTTTTGTCCTTGTGTAGCAGTGAAGAAAACTCTATAAATACTGTACATTAGACCAGCATGTCCAGATGTGACGTGCAGCCTCATTAGACAAGGTCACCTAATTATATGGATGGTTAGGAAAGCTTACTGTACATTTATGTGCATGCCATATAAAAGAAAAAAAACAGAGGTGAAGAAGTGGAGAGACGTGTGGACACTTGGCTCCTGCTGCTGTAGCTTTAGTGGATTATGTGTAAAAGAAGGTTGAAAAACCACACTCACACACGTGCATTAACACATACACAAGCAAGACCTCTCACATGTGTACACAAGAACTCTCACACGTGCGCACGGGGGCTCTCACCACCAACCTGACCAAGCCAGACTGAGATCAAAACCTGGCTGATCCTCCACCGGCTTTACCTGTCAGGTCAGAGTGAGTGTTGATCTGTGTGCACGTTTGAGATCAGAGGGGGAAAAAAACAGAGCGAGAGGAAAGAGAGGCTAGAGGGAGGAGACGGAGAGGTGTAATACTACACCTCCCTGCTTTTAAATTAGAAAACAGCTGATTTACAGGAAGAGGTAAATGACCTTCAGTTTAGAGTAGAACAACAACTTAACAACTGTACATGATGTGTCATTATCACTAATGCTCACCTCCACTTCCACGTAAAGTATCTGCCACTGAATGCAACAAGTTTATGCCTGCTGTCTGGAAATTACCCAAAGTCATTCTGAGTAATGTCGGAAATCGCTGACTGAAGTAAAGTGGATACAAAGAGGTAAAGTACAGCATTTCATCACATATGAATGTACTAGACTCCTGATCATGAGCATCTTAGCATGGACTTTTTATAACTTTTTTAACGTGGTATTGCAGCAATTTAGTATTACACTTTCATAAACACCAGGGACTCACAAGAGACCAATTTTAAAAAGGAACAGTCAAAATTGGTGTTACATAAGTCTATGAAGATTCTCAGTCATCCAGGTCATAGTTATCCAACGAAGGTTAAAATGAAGGGCAACTGGACTTGGTTGAAGCTACTGGAAGACGTTTCGTCCCTTATCCAAAGGACTTCCAGTCAGTCAGAACTGAAGAAGTCCTTTGGATAAGGGACGAAACGTCTTCCAGTAGCTTCAACCAAGTCCAGTTGCCCTTCATTTTAACCTTCGTTGGATAGTGTTACATAAGGATTTTTGTCCACTTGTATAGGATGAGCTTCAAAAACACTGGATCCTACACTTCAGGATGAAGACTAGCCATAACACTAAAGATGACACATGCACAAAAGCACACGTCAGAGTAAACTTTAATCTCTGATTAAGGCTGCAGACGGACCAAACACGAGAGCACTGAAAATGAGAAAGGGAGACCAGCAAATTCACACAAATGGATCATGTGGACGAGCCTTGAGACGTGTAAAATGTGAGAGGCGCTGCTGCTTTAGAAAAAAAGTCACAACTGTTATGATGGCTGTAAAACAATGATGGTGGAAGTAAACAAGTAGCACGAGGCTACTGTGGACACGCAGGAACAGAACACGCAGAGGAAATGAACATTCAGAGTCAGATGATGGGTGTGTTTGTCCTACATCTCATTGTTGTTGTTTTTTTAAAAATACCCACAAAGTAGTGGAATTGTCTGTTTTATTACCAGTTATTTGTCAAAATTCACATCAAATGTTACTTCTCATATGCATGTCCAATTTTGTCACATGCTTATTTATACATATACATGTATCTACATGTGCATATGTCAAAGCATTTAAGTTATGTTCTACACTGCTGTACTGTACCCAACCTGCCATGTAGAGTATGGCTTTGAATGTATACAGTAGTAGCATAAAACACACTGGCAGCAACAATTTACACACACACACACACACACACACACACACACACACAATAAGCTTATAAGAGAAACCATATTTGGGGTAGATATTCATCCAAAATTACAACATGTTTTAGTAATTAACGCATGCATTACTCTATCATATAGTTATTAGTGGTGATCACTTTCTTCGAGTATTACATTGAACAATTAACTTATTGCCCCTAAATTGACTATGAAAAATGACTAACATACTATATATAACTATATAGTAAAGCTAAGCTACATTATGAAACTCCTCTTAGTTGCTGAGCATCGACAATCATCATATCTAGTGTAGTATCATGATGTACTGGAAACCTTTCTCATTTCTCTGACGCAACTGTCATAATGCAACAAACAGACCCCTAAACTTGACTGCAGTCCCTCTGTTGTAACTAAGCGCCATGTTGCTCGTCCAAAGCCACTCAACAGAAAGAAACACTAGGTAAACAATGAAACAATCGCTCTGAAAAACAGTAAAACGTCAAATTCAGTTGAAGTTTTCCTGAAAGAGACAGTTAGCTTACAAGAGCAAAGAAACAACAGTAAAAATGAATGTAACGGCATATTCTACAGCCAACATTTTCCATACATTCAAATAGAAGATGTTTCAAGGCAGTTTGATCAAGATCATAAAAGTTCTGTTGCATGTTCCTCAAGAATGCAATAAAGTCAGCAATAAAAATAGGGAGGCGCTTCAGTCAACGTGTTGATAAGAGAAAAGTGTACGAGCTCAGCCATCAGATAGTAAGAACGTGAAGAAGAACGTGCAGCCAAGAGAGACGATACTCAAACAATCCTGTGAACCTTGTTTCAGGGATCCCTAAGTTAGTGACGCCATTGCAGTAGATGGATTTCATACCTGCATCTTCTGGGAATCATCCACAAGAACAGCTGTGACAATGAGAAGCTGGAACACAGCAGGAAATGTTGGTATGTTCAATTTTTAATCCGAGTTACAAATTTGCTGAACGTTTTCTCAAATGCTAGAGCCACGTACACTTTTCTGCAATTTTAAGCTTAGTAGGCTTTCTTTTGGACCAAGCACATCTTGCACATGCCTAGAATTCATTCTTTTGCGTTTTGATCCATGTTCACTTTCAAGGGCAATGACAGCTGTTTAGTGCCCAGCAATCAGCTCAAGGTCACAGACCATTTCTGAAGTCAAATAAACCAGCAGGAGTATTTTAGGAACAAATGTTTTCTCACTAAAGTAAGGCTGAATGAATCACTTTCTGTGCAAACTACTCGAAGGAAGAGAAATTTAAAAAAAGCATAACCTCTCTACCCTTTCACGACTTCAGTAATTGCTCAATCTATAACGAGCATACTAGACAACACTAAATTCCGTGTACACAAATATTTGGAATCAAGGAAGGTTCAAGCCGTAAGCTGCAGAGTAAAAGCTTCCTCTCTCCTTTTTCTTTCCTCCAGGTTCATGTGAACTTAATATCTTGCTGGTTGGCCCCAGAAGGACAGGCAAAAGCTCTACTGGTAACACCCTGCTGGGCCAGGGGCAAGTTTTTGAAACCAAAGGGGGCGGGGCCAGCACACCAGCCAGCGCTATCACAGCTGGAGGTCACTTGACAGTGGTGGACGCACAAGGCTGGGGTTCATCTGAGGAAACTGTGCCCCGAGAGGAGAAAATTGAACTGTTGAGAGCATAGTCTCTCTGTGGAGCTAAAGGACCTCATGTTGTCCTGTTAGTGATCCCTCTGCTGGACTTCACTGAGCCTGAGAGGAGAGCAGTGGAGACACACAATGGTGCTGTTCACATGTGGAGACTGGCTGAAGAGAAAAGGGCGCAGTGTGGAGGAGCACATTCAATCAGGAGGCCCTGCTTTGCACTGGCTGATGGAAAAGTGTCGCTATCGTTACCACGTGTTTGATAACAAGGCAGCCATCATTGGCAAGCCAGAGAGAAGAAATCGGGAGGTGAGTGGAGGTGGGAAGAAACAGCAAGGGACTTGGCAGAAGAAAACTGACACAAGAGAGGGAGGGAAGAGCAGAGGATGTGAGGCAGATAGGAGGAAGGAAGGAGTGCAGGAGCAGGTGAGAGAGCTGCTGAATAAAGTGGAGGATGTGTTGCAGGAGAACGGAGGATGGCACTTCTCCTTTCACATGTATCAAAGACTGGAGGAGGAATGGAGCCGCAGGGAGCAGAAGCAGAGAGCTCAACTGGAGGCAGAAAGACAGATTGGGGAAGTGTGAGGAGAAAACTAAAGACAGCTGAGACCAAGATAAACATGGAGCCGGAGCAGGAGCAGGAGCAGAGGTTAGAGACAGAAGAAGGAAAGCAGGAAGATAGCCTGAGGAAAGAGCAAGAGAACAAGGAGGACTGTGTGGAAAGGAAGATAAATGGAGGGGAAGATAAAGAGGAGAGCGCAAAGAGAGAGCTCAAGAGACCAAGCAGTGAGGAGCATGGCTGGGATACAAGCTCTGACAGCGGTGGAAAGTGAGAGGAAAGCACTTAAGTGAAAACAGGAATGATGGCTCTATGTTGGCCTAATGGGGGTCAAAGGTTAGCCTTTAGTCCAATCAGAAGGCTTGCCAGGAGTAACTATAGCTCGGCTGAAACTGCCACAGTGACTCCACCCGTGACATCTGTGACACCTGCAGTCACAAGTGACATGTTTATTCTTTTATGCTGTGACACTGAATCCTTGAAAATGTGAGGACCCACCAGCAACAAACCAAAGAACAACTGCGGATCCTCACACAGCGCTTCAGAGGCAAGAGTTAGAATATTCTTGTGGATGTTATAGCTGTTTCCTGCAGAGAGACTGATACTTTAAAACTGTTTCAAACTTAGATTAAGCACTACCTCATAATACATTAAATAGCTCAATGCCTTGTGGTTTGAATGGTTAGCACTCTACAGGTTTGTAATTATAAAGCAGGATATATATAGCAGGATTTATTGGTTTTGCTTCTAAAATTATCAGGGATGTGAGACATTGTGTGATCCTAGACCTCAGCTCTCTTCCTATTTATGTACACTACATTAACAAAGACTGCGAATGCTTATGAAACGTGCTTGCAAAAGACAGATGTATAAATAAGAAACTGTTGTCCATGAAACAGTTAGAGAATAAACTGTGATAAAAGGGATGCGTTGCTGAACATTGAGGTCATCATTATTATCCTTTTATAATCTTTGTTTTTTCAATTTGCTCACTGCATGCGGGTTTTTATGGCAGAACTGAGGGACGTGTGGTCTATCACCCATTTCATTACATCTGAACAAATTGTCAATTGACTTCAGGGAATTGCTGTCAGTCCTCGGTTGACACAGACAGTTAATCCTCATCTCTGGCTCACAGTCATGATGCCATGCAAGGTCAGTCTCAGCCCGGGACATCAGGCAGAGCCAGAAAAGTCCCAAATGCACAAAATCAGATTAAGACCTCTCTCACTCACAATGGAATTGGTTGAGTCCATTAAAACAGTAAAGTAATTTAAAAAACTACTAACATGCTGAAATGCCCTGAGTTTATAGGGTCGGAGGTGATTGAGCATTAAAGGAGAACCGATTTTACACATAAAAGTCTGTTTACAGGTCTTGGGGAGTACTAATGTGCATGTGAAAAAGGTTAAACAAAGCCAAGGGGAGCTGCATGGAATCTGAAAATTCATCTGTTGGGGCTGAAGCTGGAAAGAGTCTGGAAAAGAGAAGTTAGAAACATAAGCATACCAGACCTCTGTAGCTAGTGGCTCGAGGCTAAATAAGCAACTACCAGCGTAACACACCCAAATCTCCAACCAAACTGTCAGCTGCCAAGTTGGATTGTGGGTAATGGAGGTGCCATGTTTTGACAAAAAGAAAAATGTGTGGAATAAAAAAAGACAACATCTCTTTTTTTGCTGCATCAATTTTGTCAGTCGTGAGTCTGACAATGTTAAAGTTATAGTTGCTAAATCAGCACTCCTTTAACAAAGTACCTTTATAAAATACCTGATGTTTTTTCTCCAAACTATAACTTTGTTGGTTAATAATGTTTTCAGGGGCTTTAACATTTCTGAGATTTCTATAAGTTAAATAGCTTTTCTAAGACCACCTTATGAGTATAAATTAAGCCCTGATTTTTCTCCCTGAAGGTCTCTGTACTGACACCTCTGATGTAACTATGAAGCAACTAGAGTTTGATATATTACCATTTTTATTGGGCTTCAAGAAGAAATCTTAGAACATAGACTGGTTACAGCTCCTCATTATCAACTTTCATTTGCCATGAAACACCTGCATGAGCTTATGACAAACTGATTTATGTGTTACACAACATTTATAGCAGTTGTCTAGGATTATATGAGGGCCAATTGAATAAAATGTTCATCAGCAATCTGTCTTATGTAACATCAAGGATAACTGTTGGTCAGGAGCCCACATCTCTGTACAATAAGGGACACTAGTGTAACGTGAGAGAGTAGAAGTAAACTTCAATCAAACAGGGGTATTACCCATCTTAAATTGTATGACTAATACACTGAGCTAATATTAACAGAGTGCTATTCAACAAAATTATGAATTGAAGCTAAAAACTTTCACTCTTAGATCCAGAGGCATTTTATCTGCATTTTACATTATGGCAACTGCTGTTGCTATGAGACATGTGCAGCATTCTTCAGCTAAACGGCAAAAGGGCGTTTAGCTGAAGCTCTGGGCGTTTTCTGAGTGCAATAAATGTCCTCTGCTCAGAGCAGGATGAACGTCAACATGTCTTTCCTCTTTTGAAAGCACAAGATGAAAGAGCCAGTGGTCTGATCACAATCCAATAAAGCTGTTCCCATTCTGGTGTCACTTTTCTCACTTTAAGAAACCTACCAACAAACTCATCAGCCAGTGGTCAAGGTGAATTCAGTTGCTACTGTTTAGCCTGCGATGATTAATATAAAAATTTCCCTGTTGAATATTACTATATCCTCTGTATAATTCTCTTACTACATGATCCTCTCCAATATTTGGTTTGAGGAATGGACTCCTTCCCCACGCTAGCTTCTGACCTGGCTAACATCACTTCATGGAGTAGCTGCTGTCAGGCAAGGAACCAACTTTTCAAACTAACAACAACTGTAAACTTTTTCAAGCCACAAGTATAGTAAACAAACAAAATGTGAAATATTACAGCAAAGTGTGTGACTGTTGGTGTAATAATTGTACACTGACTGAACACTGTTTTCAAATGAGGTGTCATATTTTATTTTAGTATACTTATTTTATTACCTGTAACATTACTGTATTTTTTTGCTGTAGTTACTGTTAAACTGTTGTATTTGTGTGATAATCCCTACAGGCACAGATCTGCACTCTGTGTTCACTGTTGCTTTACCTGGTCCCTGCGTAAAATATCCACTGTGACTTGTAACGTAAGTTAATAGTCCAGTAAACCATTTTTTTTTTAAGTCTGTGCGTCACACAGTGTACAGACTGTACAGACGACTGCAGCCCCACCCGCGCACCCGATGACATCGTCCATCCCGATGCTTCATTGTAGACATCGTCCGATGGAAATTTTGTAGATATCGCCCAAGAGCCTAGATTCATCAAAATATACACAAAAAAAAAATCACTCCTAAAAAACACTAACTGTGTGGTTGAATTGACATGCAAACCAAACATTTGTTCAAACATGTTTTTGAGGGAAACTCACTGGTTATCAACTTTTTCTATTTTTGTGCCACACACATATGTTAACACCTGCATGTGCAAAGTAAAGATGCTCTGTTTCTATCACCTTATCAGTAGGTATCAACTGTCTGAGCTGTTCTATGAGCCTTGAGGTGAGCTAATAATAGGAGAGAACTGTACCAAAACTATTGCCAAGGGTGTTTTTTTGTGTATTGATAATAATTCTAGATATTGTAGCTGTTTCTTTATATGAGGCTTGAAAGACTTATAGCGCGTTGTTAAGGAATCTCTGTGACATGCCTCCATTTACTCAACTTCTCTACTTTTAGGCTCATGAACAACTCACACACTATTCATCTTAAGACCATCGAGGTGAAACAATCTGCAGTGCAGCTACATACTCTGTAATGATTCACTGCAAGGTGACATCCTGTACTCTTTTAATCTGGCACACTCAACAATGGATGTCCTTACTACATAACAGTCATCTATCTCTCACACACACACACACACACACACACACACACACACTGGATTAAAGCACATTGATTGAAGGTTTTGTCAAAATCAAGTCTTCTTGAAAGGTAAATCGCCATCAAACTAGTACACAGGGTAAACGCTCTACCTTGTGTACTACTTTTGTGGCGATACACACCATCAGTAGCAACTAATTATATCAATTCTAAAGTTTTGAACAGCTACCTAAGGTAGTAGTATAGACTAGTAAACCCTAAAAATCTAGAAAAACCCAGTAACAGCGGCTAAATTACACTGTAATTAAGATTAAACCAGGATTACAAATGTCTGACAAAGGTCTCAACATTTCTTTTGTTCTTGGTAACTTCAGCAGTCATTGTACAGCAGAGGACAGGCCAGCAGTGTGACGCTGGACGGGACTGCTGCAGTATACCAGCCAACACAGCAAGCTACAGTAGCTGCCCGGGCACAGAGGGTGAGGGGACGAAGGGGCAATGTGAATTAGATAGATAGAGAGATGGAGATAAAGTGATGGATAACTGTAGACAGAATGACATAAAACAGTACAGTAGCAAGGAGGGACCTACTGTAGGGGGCAGTAAAGGGAGTGAAGGGATAAAGAGGTGGAGACATCCATAACTAACTTGAACTGAAAAAAAGATGATGACAATACGTTTTGAGAAGGAAAACGGCATTGGTAATGCATGCAAAGACGGATTCTATGGAGATCATAACACCAAAAACACAAACACTGAGGGAATGGGATTGGCACCATAAATCAAAACAATACCTAAATTATTCACAATACTTATTTAACCCTCAGCCCTGCTCGCTTTGCCGTGTGGGAGTCAGCATTAAAATCATGAAAACACATGAGCAGCATTTGCTGTTTTATTTCTGGTATAAGTCTATGATCATATTGATTCATGACTAAATACAGCATACAGTCTTTGCTTAAAAGTTGTCCAGTTGTCAAAGATGAGAGATGAGATGAAATTTATCCAAGGGAGAGTAACATTCCCCATATGCACCCACACCCTTAAAATGTCATTTTTCTGTGTCAGCACACTGTGGGAACACAAATTGGAGTCACATTTCTGTGCACCAATTTCCCTGCTTAGGACGAAGTAAGATTTCCACAACATTCCCAAGTAAAGCACACAAAACTGTATGAGATTGCTGTAGGTATGACAGGTATTAGAGAGGAGTCACGTTGCTGTTTCACAGGAGATATAGAAGCAAGAAGTTTTCTAGCAAAATAAAAAAGTGTATCTTTGAGATCTGTGATGCTTCCAAATGTATAGTGTGCAGATTCTACCAGTTGTGTAATATGGTGACAAATTGTAATTCAACATAACACTAACTTGCTTGCGTAATTGAAACCTGCAGTGTTACAGGTGTGTGAGGGGCAAAAGGTGACCAGTGTCAGCTAAAATGAAAAAACATGCCCTCTGCTGTTCAACACTCATTTTAAAATCCTATCATAGATTTAATTAACAAACACAAATCACGGCGTCTTTGATAAGCAAGTAGCGAACACTTTGAATGCTTCTTGTAGGAATTTTAACCTCAAGTCAAAAGCTGAAGACACTGTGTTTTCAGTCACTTCAGTTGTATTTTTTCTTCGCCGTTACTAAGTGTCATTAAACGGATAGTAAGTGATGGTAATGCAATACGTTTTTTGTTAAATTCAGTGAAAATTCAGGGATTCGTTTTGCTAGTTCTCGGTTTTGTGGGTGCTCTGAAAAAAAAAATCCAGTTTTCCTACACAGCCCTGACTGTGAATGGAAAACAAAGAAAGTGGTGCGAACCTTACCACACAACATTGTTTCAGCCAATCAGCAACAGGTGAAGTTAGTGCTCGTGTGCAGGAGTGATGGGGGCAGGGGGGCAGTGGGGGAGAGAGTTCTATACATTGGTACAATCAAAAGTGCTGGACGCCAGGCACAGTGAAGAAGGAGAGATGGCCGAGAAACAGCCAATGGGGAAAAGAAGAGTATAAAC